TCTATAACATTTTCCATTCCTTTGACCCAGCACTATTGTGCTGAAACCGAAAGTGTCCAAAGGTGTTCAAAACAATATTACAGCAAACAACTGGACACTATTCAAATGCCCAATAGTAGGGGAATAGTTAAGTACTTAAATTCCTTTCCATCAGATTATTATCTAATCATTAAACTGGGGAAACAAATGTATTTGTGGTTACCAGGGGCAGAGGAAAGGAGAAAGGGGTGGACAGTTATTACTTAGGGAGCACTGAACTTCTGTTAAAGGTGATGAGAAAAATTGGAAATGGACCACGGTTATGGTTGCCCGACATTATGAATGTTATCAATATCACTGAATTATACGCATGAAAAAGTTGAGATGGCAAGTTGCATACATGTGCACACACGCGCACCCCCACACACAAAACAAAAGCAAAACTAAGCCCATTCCTGTAGAGTATGTTCCGACTCATAGTGACTACTGGAACGGTTTCCCAGGCTGTAATCTGTAAGAAAGCAGTGTGCCACATTGTTCGCACAGCCAAGCGCAGTGTAATAGAACCCTTTATTAAACAAGAGTCTCAACGTGTCCGGTTATTGTCCCTTATACCCTTCCATCTCTCTAACCCTTCCCTGAAGAATTGTGCACTCTTCTATTGACACTCCATCCGTCAAAACAGGCGTTGTGGCATCCCCGAGGGATTCCAATCATCTCTCTTTGGAATGTTCTTTGATTTGGGTAACTAAAGAAGTCAGAAAGAGCAAGATCGGGCTGTAGGGAGGATGAGGGAAGGTTTCCCAAAGAAATCCTCACAGAACAGCCCTGCCGGCCCTCAAAGCACGAGCAGGTACATTGCTGCGATGGAAAACAGAAAACACAAATAACTCCTTGGCACAAATTTCCTGGTATTTTTCTTAGCAATGCAGTTTTCGATTTTCTTAAAATTTCTTCCTCATAAGCCCCCTTTGTTCTCTGAGGAAATATATCAAGATTTTCCCCTCAAGGATCCCTCAAAAAAGAGTCACCATCACTTTCTGGGCATACTGACCTCCCTGCTTTGAATGGCACTGGCCCAGCAGATCCTCTGCGAAGCCATTGCTGCGACTGGAGCCTGCTCTCTAGATTGTGCTGACCAATCCAACACTCGTCCTCCGTGATGACCTGCTCCGGGTGAGCTAAAAAAAACCCTACACTGGCTGACGCCGACATGCTCACTTCCACCTGATTCCGGACTTGAGCCACGGCTCCTTCATCCGCCGCGGTGGGCGGTCTTCTTTCTGCCGCATCATCTTTAAAATGCCCCGTCGCTCTAGACACAGTCGTCCTCAGTGGCACAGGAAAAGCAAAGGTAGCACTACGGCAGTCCCAGGAACTTGCTGCAAAGCTTCAGTGATTGGGGAAGATGTTCACTTGAACTGTGTTAAACATTTGATAGAAACCCTGACCTCAAAATAGGCACAACAAGTATGTTTTGTTTTGATTTTGAAGGCATGACGATGACGAGGAGGAGCCCTGGTGGCCTCCAGATTCACGCCCTTGTCATCCCGCCAGGCCGACCCTGCGCCTCTCGCCCGCTCCTAGTCCACCAGGGGGCGCCGTGACTCACCTGATACACATGGAACATATTCTTCAAGTATTTATATTCCTTTCTCAGCTCCTCTGGACAAAAGGAAAACAACACACTCATCAGTTCTCTGATGTGCACACTTAAAAGGCCATGTATAAGTTACCTTTTTCCCACCTCAGACCCCTCACCTAAACTCAGAAAACCTTGGTGCAGCTCAGAAATCACCTGGGAAGCTTATTAGGGAAAGGCTGCCCTGGAACCACCCCCAAACTCCTGACTGGGAATCTCCGGGAAGGCGCCGGCATCTGTCTGCAGTGGGCTCCCGGTGACTGATGCCCAGCAAGCCTGAGGACCAGGCTCCAGGACCAACAGAGTCCGTGGAGACAAGGGGAACAAAACCTCGTGGCCCACATTTGTAACTTAAAAAAAAATAACATTGCATGCTGCCTTGAGACAACCGGAAAACCAGCAAGGAAGAAATAAGGCAATACCTTTTTTTAAATCTAAGGCAAACTAAATGTGAGCGCAGAATCGCTCCCCTGCAATGACCCTAGAGAACAGGGTAGAAAAGTCCCCTGTGGGCCTCCACGACTGTACATCTTTTTTTGTTGGTTTTTATTTATTTATTTATTTTTAAATTTTAATAAATCATTTTATTCAGGACTCGTACAGCTCTGATAACA